AACTATAGGTATATAAAGCATCGTTCAAAGCTAAAATAGATCAAATATTTAAAAAGTCTTTGAATATGATTTCGTATTTAAAGTGAACCTCACGGATGAAACAAACATGATCCATTTTGACTTTATACACATACGTGAATTTTTTTCTTAGACATCTCCCTAGATTCATCTTGTACGAATGAAGTCGATCGCTTGCTATTTCGCTCTCGTAGTTGATTTCGAGGCCGCCGACGTCAAACTGTGTAAATAAAATGTAGCGATCTCTGGACAAAAGTCCGCGGGATGTATGATTTAATCAACGAATGGACTTTCGTGTTCCTAAAAATCCTCAGGGGTCTAAAGGAGGTTCTAGGATTCGAAAATCTGAAGAGCCTCCCGCCGTCAAAACGGAATGCGGCGCCTCGAAATAATAAAATAGATCAATTTAAAATTATTCAACTATTACGACGGCTCATATTGAGTCCGCTTTATTGTAACGCTGACGTGATATTTCACTTGTGCGCTTGCGTTGACCCTTTGACTGCTATTTAATACTTATTCGACGAATAAAGTATTATAAAGTATTATGATTGTTTGAATGTCATCGCATTCTTAAAGAAAATTTTGAAAGCTACTTATGATAAACAATTATTTCTATATTGAACTCAATAATATTTATGTGATAATATTTAATACATTTAAAAATTTTTAAATTATGAATTATTCTTGAGAAATATTGAAATAAATTAGTAGTTGAAATAAAATAGTATCTTTTATTGACAAATAATAAGAATTGTTCAATAATCTAATAATTTTACTTATAAATATATCGATTGTATTTGGATTAATTATCAGTCAAAAAGTTAAGCGGCATAGTGACGCCATGAAAGGAGATTCTCGCGTCAGTGATTAATTAATTTAAGAAGATTAGTTAAGAAATCGACGGAGATGACATTCGGTCATTGGAGAAGGTCTGCAGATTTAGTTAAAATGATTAAACTTTAGACATATTTAAGCACAAAATTTTGTTTTTACCAAAGATAAGAATTGTGATTAAACAATTAATTGTTTCTATTGCTATAGAAATTGTTTATGAAGTGAATAAATTTAGAAATTATTTATACAATTTTAATTAAGGAACAATTTCGCATTTAATAATAATTATTTGATTGTTTTTTTTTTTCATTACTTTATACATAATAGATTATATTTTTAGTATTTTTATTATTTTCAAAAAATATCGGGTAATTTCCACTGGCGTAGATATTAGATATTTATTTTCTCGCTGTATGATTCCTACGAAAATTGGCAGTACTTCACGAGTGACCGAAAATCTAGAGGATCGTAATCCTCAAAATAGTATTGTAGAATGTAAATAAAATAACGGGTAATCCGTCGATTTTTAGAGTTATTTTTAAGGGCGTAACCGGCAATATTTCTTGCAACAGATTTAATGAGATGTTTTATTGACTCGCAGTTTCAATTCTTTGAATATTATATCGAATATCATATTCGGGGAAAAAAAATAAAAAAGTTAATTTTTTTATACGACGAAATATTACTTTGATGTATTATTTATGTAAGTAATTTTATGACAATCCAATGACCAATTTGTTAAGCATATTGAAAAAAAAAGATGGTATCTTAAAAGGATAAAATTTGACTGTTTATGCGAAGCGCAAACAGGTAATTAAATTTTTCACTTATGCATGTCAATTCAAATAGAAAATGTACAATATATTTCGATTCCAATTCTGGTATCAATTATTAATAATATCAAATTAAAGTAAAAATATTTATCACATGATGACGTGTTATTGTGAAATTGTGTGCGTAAAGTATTCAAACTTAAATAAAATATTAATTTTTATTATTATATTCGAAAACGAATTCAGTGCTTCGATTCTGTAACTCTTTAACGATAGTTTCAATACCATTATATTGTCACGCAAAGATTATACATTGAAAATCCTACGCAACGATATCAAACTGTAACTCGTTAAGAGTTACAGAATCAGAGTACTGAAGCGTAGCCGTAGGTCATATAACACACGAAATTAGTTGCAACACTATGCCTGCGGTAATGTATTAAATGCATTAATGGTTTCCGGTGCGCTTTTTTACTCAGCGATCAAATTTCTGTGTAGAATCATACCTTTTTGTTTACATAACTAATTGTATGGTTCAGTTGCTTCGTGTAGAATAAAAGAAAAGGAAAATCGGTCGCGTGTTACAGAATATTTTCGTGAACACGCATTAGACCTAGTAGGCTGTGTTCCAAAATTCACTACCAACGCTGAAAATCTACAGTTTACATTACATATTCTATACATTTTCAGCAGTGAATTTTAAAACACAGCTTAGATTGTACAGTGTATGACAAACCGTTTCTGTTCTCTTTCTCCGTCTTTTTGTAAATAATAGAAAGTATCAGGACGAGGGTTCGCGCTTCTCGTCACCTAGTCACTCGTTCGATTAATGTTTCGTTGAAATATAGCTGTAACGACGAAAACCAATCGACGCAGCTTTTTCTCCCCAACAATAAAGACGTTAAATAAAGAAGCAAAAAAATGTTACAAACGAAAGAATTGTGTCTTAATCAATTGGAAATTTTCTATTTCAGAATTTATCCTTAATCCTTATTCTTATTTTTAATGACGCGTGGATAAAAAATGGGAGACGCGTGATTAAATATTTGCTATGTTATAGGAGCGACTTCATCAATCTTTTTAACACTCATTACAATAATGAACTAAGAGCATTCCCGTTGTCTGATCGAGCTGAAATTTAGCAGGAATTATTTTTTTTTTGTAGATAGAAACTATTCTGAAGGATACCACAGAAAAAAATTTGTAATACAAAAAATAAAAATCCTAATACACACACACACACACACACGTATTATGTATATATATTTACATATACATATATATTTGTTTACATATGTAGAAGAAAATTATCAATATTGATATAGGTCTTCTAAAGAGATATCCTCTTATTTCTCGAAAATTACATTTAATTAATATTGATAAAAATATGATTTGTTTGGGTAATTAAAGATGTGAAAGTCCATAAATACATATTTGCAATTTGTTTTTATATGAAATCAGCTAAAATTTGTAAAATTTGTAAAACAAATTTTACAAATGCGAAAGTAACAAATTTTCTTTTGCAAATTGCATTTAACTTTTAAATGATGAGTGAATATATTTTTGTTTTACATGTTTACAATTTCCTAAAATTATTTTATTTATATATTTTTTTCTCTTTTTGCCTGTTTTGTTTATTCTGTCAGGCTCTTATTTTTGTTTATCTTACGAAAAAGTTAAAGAGGATATTGCTTGAATTGAAAAATTGATTTTTTTGCATTTTCTTAATTTATATTTCAAGAATACTCAGGTCAAATATTATTGCAATATTCGTAAAACAACAAAGTTACAAGACTTACTTAAAGCAGTCACCGCGCAGACAGGTAGAAAATAATTTCCGGCTGTTTTGGCCTACCAAATAGGCACAAACAAGTCCTAGAAAGCCCTCCTCTCCTTCCTGAGCCTTCCCATTGAAAGCAGAGATATATGCGAAATAGTCTCGTTTTATTTGATTTCGTACAAGTATGTAGTAAATATAAAAATGCTTAACGGGGGGAAACTCAAGTAAATAGCTAAAAATTCATCAATTTTTGGAAATTTATTGTGAAGAATATATTGAATCAATCTTTTTGAAACTTTTAGTATACTTTATTATTTAATTGTAGATTTGAAAAAAACTTTTATTTTTATAATATATATTTAAATATTAATGTAAAATAAGGATATATAAAAAAAGGTATTTCGCGCCATAGAGGGACTGTTTTTATCTGAAATGAAAAATTCAAAATGGCAATGTTAGTTAATGAATATACGCTCAACATGAACCTATTTTTAAGTTAAAAAAAGGTAAAAATAAAAAAATAATGACATTCCAAAAAAAAGCTGCGTTTTAAAACAAAGAGTACTAAAAAAAACAATTATTTATTTCAAAAACATTTACAGTGAGAGCAAAAAATATCTGTACAAGAAAATTCGTTATAAAAAAAGCCTTATTTATAGAAAATAAACATTAATTAGTAATTTTATACAATAAATCTGTTCTAAAAGAAACAAATGAGCTTAGCATGTATTCTTGATTTTAGAAGCTAAATCTCTCATCTGTACAAATTTTTGAGCATTCAAACAATATTATACAATTTTTAATTTTTGCTTATTTTTCGGATGATTATATTTTGTATAATTAATACACATCATTTTGGTACTTATAATTTTAAAAAACATACAGTCTATTTTATTCTTTATGAATAAATTGTTAATTATCTAACAAGAAATGTTAATTAAACGTTAATTAAACGTCGAATCGATGTCAAATTGGTGTTATAATCATCGAATTTATATTAATTCGACATCACTTCAATGATTCATTTCTCGCTAGATAATATTTATTTTTTTAAATAAAGTTTTTTTAAAAAATATTTTCTCGTACGAATACTTTTTATACTCACTGTATGTAAAAATAGATTCATGCTATGAAGAGAGACAGATGTTATAGAATATGTGTACGCAAGAAGGTCGTTGTTTAAAAATTGTTTGAGTTACATTCCATGTCGCTCGAAAATTTTCGAAAAAAACGCGTAATTTTTTGATAAAGAAAAATAATATTTTTTGGAAACTTACAGTTGTTTTATGCTAATCTGCAATACCAGGTCCGCAACATCAATCCTTCCTCAAAATGTAGATGGATATCGCGTGTCGCGCGCAACTAATATCATGTTGGTGTGCCGAAGTCATTAAGGTAAATTTTCATGAGGCGCTCCAACCGGCCGTTTCAGTAACAGAAAAGATCACGTGGTCAAAATTGACGAATATCAAGCGTCAATTTTAATTACGTTTTTATCGTTAAAACAGCCGATTTGAGCGGCTCATGAAAATGTACCGTTAGGCGACATGAGCGCTTCCAATCGGTAGCATCTGTAACAAAAATCTGATGATCTTGCACAATCCCTGAAATAAGTTGCGTTTGTTCGTACTTGTGATCTAAAAACAAATTTTACATAAGTAAAAATGTTGAATGTGAAGATCGTAGGAGAATCCTTGAAATGCAGCTTCAACACGCCGGTTTCTGTGCAAGAATTAAAACAAGAAATTGAGAGAGAAACAGTAAGTGATAGATCTTAAATTTTTTAACTTAACCTTAAATTATTTTTTATTCCTTGAAATTCTTGTAGCGTTTTCCAATAGGAAAATTAGTGCAACACTGGTACAATTGAATGCAAATCGGTTTAGTTTGTATTAATGAAGAATTTAATCTTTTTAAGATTATGAGATTAACATAATGACACAAAGAATTTATTATTAAAGTCCAAATTCATGATATCATCATAAATGAAGTTTATTGGATAAAATATCAGGTCAGCCTAACCACAAGTTAATCAGATAATAAAAAAAACCAGATCTAAAAGGATTAAATTATTTATTAACATTGAAAACATGTAAATTGATTTGCATTCAGTGTTGCACTAGTTTTCCTAGTAGAAAATGTTATTAATTTCTTAAAATAATTTGATTCGAGCAATTGAAATCTCAAATAATATATAATTTGCATTTAATATTTTAATATTTGATGAAAGTATGTACATTCAATATCTTGTGTAAAAACAAAAATTTGGAAAATAAAAATAGCTGCTTAATGCTCCAAAAATTAAGTGTGAAAGACGATGTATTTAAAAATTAGAAAATCTATTAAGCCAAAGATAAGGAGAATATAAATATGTTATAATAGAAAAAAATAGTGCATGAAATATGAAATTATAAATAGAAATTAAACTGATAAGAATGAATCAAATAAATGTGAGAGAAAGAATCCTATTTTCAAAGTGGATCTTCGTACTCAATAATATGCAAATTTTTTACTACTTAGACTTTTCAGTTCTATAAATTGTATGCAGATTCAGTTTGTTGGACTTGAATTACAAACTAAAGATAAAATAGCACAATTAATATTGCATTGTACAGAAAAGATGATTCAGGATGGATCTTGCTTTATGTGAAAAGTTTAAAGAACTCTGCAATAATAGACCTTATTTTTTACTGCTCTGGATAATACAAAAGACCTAGAAAATTAAAATCCATATAGAATCATAATTATAGATACATTCATTTTATATTAAAAATACTGAGTAACAAGAGATGAATAATATGTGCAAAGTTGAAAAATTGTACAATGATCAGTATTTTCTATGCCAAACAAAGTCTATAATTATACAATTTTATATGAGTTTTCAATTTTCTATATAAAACAAGGTCCCATATTGCCTGATATTTGCAGTTACAAAACGTAATCTCTAATTATATAATTTCAAATAGATTTCTAATTTTTGTATACCAAATATGATCATATGTATCATATATTTTTTAATTTTTAGATATATCATATATATATATATATATATAAAATGTTTAATTTGTTTTTAAGCTACTATGATCCTGATTTTGCCAGGAGAGGGATAAAAAGAATGTACTTTTATCAAAATTTAAATTTATGGGGAAAACTTATCAAATATAATACTAACAAAGAAACATCACACATGGATTAATATAATAATTTTTTTTTTCCAGAATCTTTCACGTGGTCAATATTATGTCTTGCACAATGGTCGACTCGTACAGGAAGATGATATCTGCTCGAATGGCTACGCAACTGTGGTTCCAAGACTGTTGGGTGGCAAAGGTGGTTTTGGATCTATGTTACGCGCGATTGGCGCGCAGATTGAGAAAACCACAAATCGCGAAGCTTGCAGAGATCTTAGCGGTCGCAGATTGCGCGACATAAATGAAGAAAAGAGGCTGAAAGCTTGGATTGATAAACAGGCCAAGAGAGAGAAGGATGAGGTGGAACGCAAGAAAAAGAAGCTAGAAAAACTCTGCACCGAGCCAAAACATGAATTTAAAGATCAGCGTTATGACCAGGAACGTGCAGAATTGACTGAGAGAGTTGGAGATGCCATAGAAGAAGGATTCAAAGTTGCGAGCACATCGGGTATCAAGAGGAAGCAGGAGGAGAACAATAAACCCAATAAACGCAAGACTATGTTAGATTTAGAAATTGATTCCGACGAATTTGAGGATTCTGATGAGGATGAGGCGTTGCCTGTAGAAAGAATGAAAGCAAAAGAGCAACAAGGATCAAATGGCAGCGGACATTCCAGTAACGATGCCGAAAATGTCAATGAATGCATCAAGATAATAGGAAGTGGATATTCCATATCATCGAGTGATAATCAGATAAATAACAAAAGTATTGAGTAATGCTATTTATTAAAATAAATACTAAATGTATTATTGAGTATTGAATGTAAATGCATAAAAAGTACAAAAAAAATTATGTAATTATGCTTATATCACTTAAAGTTAGAGTAATTGTTTTATGTTAAGATTGATCTATATAATTGCCTTATTGTCGGAAATAATGTAAGCGCGTAATTTCAAACATAATTTCTATTATAAATATTAATTATAAGTATATATGAAGAATTATAACTTCTGATGCAAGAAATTTTTATGTACCATTTCTCACTTATGATATTACGATTCTAATATGGCGACTTAACGAATGTGAAATAAATTACTGTAAAAGAATTTCTTGTTATACGTTGTAATGTATTATAAAACATTGCATTAAATTATACATATATTATTTTAATCATTACTTGAATTTCTTTGACCGATTCCCCGATTCTCGAATGACAATTCTTGATAAATTCCAAGCATTTGATTCCCTAACGAGTTTAATTCCGATAAAAATAAAATCACTGATGCGATAATCTATAGAAATCATTTACATTTCGTTTTCTTCCTTTTGCATGAAATAAAGAACTCTGATTGGTTGAATTTCTTATGCCTTATGTGTATGCGTTATGCAAGAGTTGTGTTCCCCGCTTTATGACATGCTCGCTGCTCGCGTCGCAGTATTTCGCGGCTGACAGATTTCCTAACCTGAATAGTTGTGAACGTTAACGATTAAATATCTCAAAATACGGGACAGAGCGAGCTTTTCTCGGCCAGATTCGTTTGTTTTGGTTAAAAATGCGTTGAATGAGTCTAATTTCGGCGATTTTTGAGGTGACGTGAACAATTATCTATATACACACATATATATATGTATATAAACTAAATAAATGCATAAAGCAAGCCCGATAAGATTAATACTTAAAAAAAGTGAGTATTTAAAGTGATTAAAATTGTTTTACGTCAAAAAGATGATTAGAATTATATGTTCTAAACTAAGACTAAGATTGCATTTTCATTATTACTTCTCTATAAGAGCGAATATTATTGTACGTGTATTTTAATTAGAAATTTATTTCTCATACATATGACGTAGTAATTAGTTGCAAGTAATTATAAGATAATTATATAAAAACGCGTTACATTGGAAGACTCATAAAGGTACAATTTCCTAACCTTAAAAATATCACTTATTAATGGTTGATTACTCTTCTTGCAACTCGCAATGCCTAATAATGATTTTTATTATTACACGCTTATTCTATACATTAAAATACCCATGTGAACAAAATTTCGTTAAAATCTATGAGGAGTGAGCATCAGTGAACATGCTTCATTTTAGGCAGTCAAATCTGTCAGCAACAGATTTCGCAAAGCATATGCTACTAATTTCATTAGCAGAATGTCAACAGAAATATAACAGAATCTATTAATGAAATATAGTCAATCGACTGCAGAAACCGAACAAATTTCGTAATGATATTCCATTTAAATGATTAGCAATTAACAGGCTCTATTTAATTCCTTTGCAATTTGCTGACAAATGATAGGTGCTTTCCATTTAGAGACACAAGTCGATACAAATATCATTCCATTTTTCTTGGTATTCAGAGAGTAACAAAGATAGATACTTGTGTTGACTTGTATCACTAAATGGAAAGCACTCTATATCAATGAATTCTGATCGCAGAATACAGGCTTAAACTTGTTTCACAATTCCATAAGCATAGTTGTAATTATAAAAAATGATCGATTACAGTTGAACATGAGAAGAATATTTGATTGTAATTGGTTAATTTAATGCAATTGTAGAATGGACTTTAATGCAAACGTAGTTGATACTATTTTATCACAATAGTCTGCTTTAATCCACTGGCAATTTACTAATATATTGTTAACGTCATGCTTACACGAATATTTATGTCCAATTTCTTCACCTCTGGATAACTTTATCTAAGAGATATCTCCCAGAATACAATGGAGATATCTCCTGGATAAAGTTATCTGCAACTTATCTGGAAGTGAAAAAATTGGACATTAGCTAGATTTTCTCAACCTACTTTTCTATAAGTCTCTTAAATAAACTATATGTATAACTAGTATCTTTATACACTTTTAGTAATTTTCATTCTAACATCTTAATCTCTGACATCATAGCAATTAATATACAAATGCAGATATGTTTTATTTTTTAAATAGAAATCTTAGCATTTAAATATAAGGAGTACTAGTAAATAAGGTCAAATTCTATCTCGATAGAACCAATTATACTAAAGAATTTTACAACAGTTGCAAAGCTGCTTTGTTGAACGCAGCCAATAGCTTATTTTCATACTTCTTGGGACAAAGGATTTTTAAAAGTTACTTTAGATTCTGGGCAGAATTTATCCTTATTTACTGGTACTTTTTAAAGGCCTTTTTGCCTAATGCATATTATTTATAATAAAGATAGATATTAATGTTAATTGAATAATAAAATAATAATATAGATTACAGTATGATTCGTCATCAACAAGACATGAGTAGTTGTGAAACACTCATCAGGCCTATAGAGAGTTCAATTAAGGAAAAGTTGGAAGCTGCATTAAAACCTGTTCACTGCGAAGTTATTAACGAATCTTATATGCACAATGTTCCCAAAAACTCTGAGACACATTTTAAGGTAGTGGTTGTAGCAGAAACATTTGACAAGCAGCCATTGATCAAGGCAAGTACCACCGATTTTTAATGTTCTCTAATTAAATGTTCTCTCATTAAATCTCTTATTAAATGTTTCATTTTAATAATTGATTTTAAACCTTTTGGGCTAAACAAAAATTTTAATTAATTATGGGATAAAATATAAGATATATGAAAATAAATCATATGAAAAATAATAGCGTTATTTGAAGCAAATAAAATAATAGAAAATAAATATTCATTTATGAACTTACATAATTATGAGATTAAAGACTAGATATTATTTCGCGTACTTAGTATAATGGAAAGGATACCTGAATTAATTATTAATTTAGCGACACCGAATGATAAACCAGTTATTGCAAGCAGAACTGCAAGGAGGTGTACATGCTCTATCAATTATAGTAAGTGATGACTATTATTTATTAATTAATTCTTCATTATTAGCATATAAGAAAAATAGTACCCTTTTTAAAACAGGCTAGATAAAAAATTATTTGTTACGTATATTATTGTTGTCTTCAAGGCGAAAACACCAGAGCAATGGGAAGCAAGCAATAAAACAGTAGCCGCGAGTCCTGCTTGCAGGGGCGGTTTTGGAAAGTAACATGTAATGATGTAACGATTAATTATAAGTATAAAGATAATAATTTAAGTTGCGAAAATAATTTATATAGCATAAGTATCACATAATAAATATATTCCGCTGTGATTTACATAACTATTTTTCTTTTATTAAGTAAGATAATTATGTATGAAATGCTTTCTGTATATCAGACAAAATCAGATAATGAAAAAACTTTTTAATTTGAAAAATCGGAACATGGAATAGAACAGAATTAAAATATTTATATTGTAATACAGAGATAAAAATAATATCAAAAATCAAGAGTTTATTAATCAAAATATCATTTCATCAATCGTAACTTTAGAATTCATTTTCTAAAAAAATATTTGAATCGTCTTCTCAACTATTGTTGCACTCGATCTTTTATTAGTTGCAAAGTTTTGGTTCAACAATACAATGAAGCATAAATTTTAATTGATGATATTCAACGCTCTCCCCTTCATCATTTCTCTGAATTTATTTCACTATATATTAAAAAGATCAAAGCTTTTAGTAAGCATGCACATATTCACAAATAAATATAAATTCAAAAATTGCTCATAATTTTCTTTTTTTGTTTTTGCTCCATGTATTGTTGTGTCATCCCTGCAATCGTCCATCCCTGCAATCGTAACTGCATAATGTATAACGAAAATGACAAAAATAAAAAGATGCACTAATGTCACAATACGAATGTATCCAGTCTTAATTTGCCTTCATTTTCGGTAAGATAGAGTATGTCTGCCATTGACTGCTCGGCTATCGCTTCCTCTGCCTTCTCGTGCATCTATGATAATTGTTTAATATCAGTAACAGTAATGTTAAGAATTATTGCTGTTATTTAGAATTATAAAAAACCGCTAAATCCTTATAAGATTAAAAGTTTGATGACTAATACAAGCAGGGGTGGGCAGTATTTGAAAGACATATATTTAAATACATTTTTGTATTTTGTATTTCGTATTTGAATACTTTTTTTTAGTATTTTGTATTTTAAAATTGTAAATACTAAATACATTTAAATTATGTAAAAATTTTTTTATTAAAGTTAAAATTGCACCATTGTCGACTCAATTTAAAATGTGTTCCATTCATTTTCACGCATGATGTGCATAATGCATCATTTATCGTTGTTTACATTTGGTGAACAACCTCTAGCGTTGTGTCTCAGCCAAGAGTGGACAGTATTTGAAATACGTATTTAAATACATTTTTATTTTATTGAGAGTATTTTGTATTTAAATACAATTTTTTTGAATATTTTGTATTTAAATATATACAATTTTTTGAGTATTTTGCCCCGTGAATACAAGTACGTAAGAAAGAATTACACATATTTTTTGTTAAGGAATTGATTCCGATATGGTCTAAATATACAGTATCCTCCATAAATTTGGGAACGCCCTACGTTTTACTGAAAAGCCATTACATGACAGCGATCATGTTTTTGATTTAAATACTTCATAAGACGTTTAAATGACGATAAATATTTATCTAAAACATCTATAAGCTTGTACATGCCGAAAATATATTGGACAATCATTTCACAGCATCGAAGCGCTCAAGATTGAATTTCGCACTTCGATTGTTTATATGTATTTTGTCACTTGTTTTGCAACATCGCACTTGTGTTCGTTGTATTGTATATTCACAGGTCATTTAATTGTACTTTAATGTTTTCTATAAAAGTGGTAAACTATTTACAAGTTGATTTCAGACTCCGTAAAAATTGTAAAATAGCCCCGAAGAATCAGATTTCATATGAATCGCATTTTTATTAAAATTCCATATTTTAATAGCATATTAAATCTTTAATTGAAAAAAGATAAAATAAAAATACATATATACGTGCGTTATAAATAATATACGTATGTATGTACTTTTATTTCGTCTTTTTCATTTAAATAATTACTTACAAACCTGTAAAACGTAAGGTATTCCCAAACTTATAGAGGATACTGTACATCCTATGAAATGTTATTACTGGACAGTGTAATGATTCCTCAAGATTATCGATAGTACGTATCTTATAGCGTTTTCGGCGCGACCGGGTTTGTACCAACTTGGGTTAGAAAATGCTTCACTTGGTTGACGTTATACGCTCTATTAATAGGAGAGCACGAAACATCATTACTTCAACCCAGGTTAATGCAAACTCGATCGGGCCGAAAACGCTATTAGAATAACTTGAATTTGATGCAATTTAATAAAGTCTGAGGATAAATTAACATACAATAAATTAATCTGACTTGGTGATTTTAATTAATTGTGAGTTTATGAAGATAATTTATCATTTCAAAACTATAAAAAAGTGGCGATATTCAAAAGATTTTATTTTATTATATAAAATGTTGTATCATTGAAAAAGACCATATTAAAAGTCAAAACATTTAAATATGACATTTCATATTGACTTCTTTTTTATCAACATTTGACTTCTAGCGTTGGTTTGAATAACTTATTAGACTAATTAACTGATATTATATCTAATATCAATTTGAATTGCACATATCTTGAGTAATATAAATGTAAAGTTTATTTTAAGCCGACGACATGAATTGAAAATTTTATATGTTTAGGTATATAAAATATCTCCATCTACAATTGTGAATTAACATTGTCGATTATTATTAGATAACAGTAAAGACGTGAATTTACTTGAACAGTAAGAAATGTGAGTTTACTTACGCCTCTAAACGTAACATCCGTTGGAGGATATTTAAAGTTCGGTCCAAAATTCACAGAAACCATCGCGCTCTTGTATAGTGAAATCCCTGGATAGTACGCACCCTTGTTGATGTCTATAAAGGCATCACCTTGGTTGATTCCGTTTTTGTAATATATAATTTTGCTACCTTCTAAAGGCCGTAGAGCTTTTAGGGTTTCCTGTACTTGATCTTTTTCTTCGTAATATAAGTGGCTCTTGAACTTTACTAAAGGCTAATTTATAAATCGGAAAATACGTAATAATTATTAGATATATTTTTATAGAAAATTCATTTTTTAATTATATGCAAATATTTCAGTAACAAAATCATACAAAGAATAATTATATTACTGTAATTAGAGTCCGATCGAAATTTCGGTTTCGTTTTGATTAGTTTCGGTTAAAAAATATACAGGATGATCTATTTCATAATGAGTCGAATATCTCAGAAAATATGAATAATATGCAAAAATTTTATATTTTATTCTGACCCATATTGACATAAAATATTAAATGTCATAAACTATTAATTTTTTGATAATTGTACTTTAATATCTTTATGAATAGAATAATGTGAATCAAATTGATAAAAAACAAATACATACTTATGCTTCTTATTTATGTTATTTATATACCGGTCTACTAAGTTTAACTTATTATTATGTATATTGTATACAATATATACATAATACATATATATTATATAATACATATATGTATATGTAATTTAATTTTTATAAATGGGCTTGCTGTACTCACTCTGTCTTTATAAGTATTCGGAATGTGTGATGCATCATGTGTGTCTGGGAGAACTATAAGAAAGCCCAAGGTATCACCCTCACCATAACTGTCGCTGTAATGCTTGCCACGGCTTTCGTGAAATCGTGTTCCTTTTCTATAAAAAATGTATTACACTTCTTTTCTTTTCTTGAAAAGAATACTTTAAGAAGTTTACTTGAAAAGTACTGATTTAAAAAAACTTATAGTGAGAATCTTATTTGACCGCCGTACATGTGAATGCACAACCAATAGAAAATAAAGAAAAGAAAGCCCGATTGAAGCTGGATCTTTAGTTAACTCATATAATTCGATATGAATTTATATACCACGATTAAATCCTGCCAAACTGCGTGCCGAATTGATTTTTCGATCTTGAAATGCTATATCAACAAAATTACCGTAATACTATCACAAATTAAATTGCCTTGCAATTTAATAATGTGACGTTCATAGGCAACTTAAAAAGATCTTAAAGATGCTGATAAACACATTAAAATCTGTAAATAATTTATTACGAAATATTGCCACACTGGATCGAACCTGAATCTTTTCCGTGCGAGCATTCTAAGCCTTCAGACCACTGAAGCAATGATATGTGATATATAAATTCACGAATTATTTAAGCACTAAAGATCATTGAACTTGGTCAATGGACTTTGACCACTATTTCTTAATGGTTATGTATTTATTACAGTGTTTTCTCTAGAAAATTCTGAGAGAAAAAACTTTCAAAGTCAGTTATAAGAATATGTAATAAAAAAGTGGGGGTTTTCTGTTTAAAAATTTTTTAAGTGATTTTTACATGACCTTGAGAATGGTATCCGAAGTTATTCTATTATTACTGTAATGCGCCACTTGAAATCCTATAACTTTGGTATGAAAATTTTTTTTGCAAAAATGCTTACTTTTCAAGATATTAAGGAATCCGCAACTTTTTTCACACTCTGTCTAATGGTGATATGCAATACCTGGATCTCCATGAGTAACCAAATTTGTCATAGCCAAGTGGAGCTTGTAAGTTTGCATATTCTTGTCCCCATCCGAGTCTCGTAGCAGATCCTTCTGGCATCTCTTCAATAGTGGCTTCCCAATACCAAATACCCCTGCTTACATCTGTATAAATGTAATTAGATCATTATACAAAACATTACCCATTAACTATAGCAAACTTTCCAGATGCATAAAATGTAAAAACAAATAAAATGCAAATATCACTAAAACAAAAATTGAAAAGAATATAAAAAAATTTCAATTATGTATCAGTATGTATAATTTCTCAGTAATATTAATAGCTAGTATAATAATAATATTATTTATATTTTGAATATATCAATATTTTCAAATTAATCAGATTATTGAAAAATTATGTATATCAGTATTAGAAAATACGCTCTTTCTGGTTATGCTTGTATTTGACATTAAATATTTGTGCAATTAGATTTTTAATATAGAAATTTTATATGAAAATACACGATATCAATATATAATTGCTAGTAAAATTCAGTTCCTGAGGTGGAAAAGAACGCTAGCATTTTAATAAGTTAATAGAAAGATTGTTCTT